AACAAAAATAAAATTCATAACTCTCTTGATGAGAAACAGTCTGATAAGAATTAAGAGAGACAAATGCAAAGTTCTTCACTTAGGAAACAGAAATCAAATCCAAGGGCACAGAATGGGTTGTGTGAAGAAGATATTATAATAGTTGACAGCAAACCACATGAATCAACCCCGTAATGTAGTGATTAAAAATGACAAATGCAATGTTAGCTGCATTAATAAAAATAAAACTTTAAAATTTGCAGGAATCAATTTTATTATACATGATTCAGATTTGATTTAGATCTGGTTATGACACCATATTGCAGAAAGGTTCAGGATGACTAAAAACAGGTTCTGAGAAGGGCTAAAAGAATGATCAGGGAATTTACAAGAACCAGTATCAAAAGAGATGAAAGTTTAGGCTGAGAAAGAAATATTTCCCCTAATTATATATTTAGTGCCCTGTTTTGTGATTAACAACAAGTATGAGTAATCAACTATTATAAGAAAGTAATGCTGCAATGAGATGGGATGGGATGGGGAGAGGAGAGAGGGGTGAGGAGAGGAGAGCTGAGATAATACTTTTCAAATCCTTGATAGCATGTAATATAGAAAAATGTCAGAATTTCTTCTTCTGTCATTTTAGAACGCAGCACATGCAAAAACAAAGTTTTAACAAGGCCATTTGCAAATGGATTTTTAGAAAGAGCTTTCCAACAGAATCAGAGGTTTGACAGTGGAACCAATTATGCAGAGATATGGTTGGTGCCTTTCCCTTACTGTGTTCAAACAGAAGCAATCTAGAGTGCCATCTATCTGTCTTGGGCCTTATCATCTTAATAAATGATCTAAATGATGGAATAGATGGGGAGTTCATTAAATTTGTAGATGACATCAAGCTGGGTGGGGGATTCCTACAATAACACTGGAAGAGAGAGTCAGAAGGATCTCGACAGACTTGAGCACTGGACCCTATCCAGTTCAGTGGTCAGAAAAGTTAAGATCCTGCACATAGGCAGGAAAAACCAAATGCATAGATACAGAATAGGTGGTACCTATTCTAGTAATCATTACTATGAGAGGAATCTAGGTGTCCTAGTGGACACTGCTTAAGTATGAGCCAGCAATGGCTTGCAGCTGCCAAAAAGGTTGTAGGCTGCATCAACAGAGCAATACCATCAAGATCACAATAAGTGATAGTACTGTTCTATACTGTGCTAGTGAGGCCACACTTAGAATACTGCATCCATTTCTGGTTGCCATGATACCAAAAAGATCCTGAGAAAGAGGACAGCGAAGAGCAACAAAGAGGATAAGCGGTCTAGAGACTAAACCAAATGATGAATGATTAAGGAAACTAGATATGTCTAGTCCAACAAAAAGAAGGATTAGGAGTGACTTAATAGCTGATTTCCAGTATTTGAGAGGCAGTCACAGAAATGAGGGGCAGGATAAGAGGTATTGGGTGGAAGCTCATTAAAGAGTGATCCAACCTGGAATTAAGGAGAAATGTCTTGACAGTGAGAACAATTAATTAATGGAACAGCTTGCCTCGTTGAGTCACGGGTATTCCATCGCTGGAGATTTTCAAGAAAAGACTGGACATCCATTTGTCCAGAATAGTATAAGGTCTCCTGTCTTGCACAGGGCATTGGAATAGAAGTGAATCCAAAGTTGCTTCCAGCTCTGTGATTCTATCTTGGATGCTTTAATTTGGATGTCTACATTTAGTAGAAGACAAGATACAGTGGCAAAATTCTATGATTCTGTTGCCTTCGGCCTGGAATTTAATTCTGCATTAGTTTAACAAAAGCATGCCTAGTTTCACACTTATTAACTTTGTATGACTACAGCACTTTTGAAGGGAGCATGAGCACTATATACCACTTAATTTTTTTTTAATTTTAACTATTACCTGGGGAAGCTCTTTGTTCTAGCAAACATTTTGTTATAGTAAAATATGAGAAGTATTTACTTGTCTAAATTAAGTAACATATAGTGGCATTGTGACATATAATATTAGAAAAGCGTACAGGTGACTTAAGAGTATTTTTAGATAGAGAACAGAAAATAGTCAAATGATTAATCTAAATGAAAAAGATCAGCATACAGATTTTCTAAAATCATTATGACATAAGAGAATTCTCTTACCTGGTATATTTTCTTAATAATTTTGAAATTAATCTATGCAAGAATAAATCAAATAGTACCTCAGAAAAATACTTTGAAAAGAAATCCCCACTATAAAAGGTACCATCAACTTAAGTAGAATAAATATTAGTTTAAAATTGTTCACTTCATAATAACACTTACTATCGAGACACAAGAAATACACAACTAAAATTAATGTGATAATTTCTCATTTAAATATTATAGAAATCCTTAAAAAGGAAAACTTACCTTGCTATTGTACTCAGTTGGAAATTCAAATTAATTATTCCATTTTCTGTGAAAGGCATGTTAAATAGCTCAGTGAAATATTGGCAAGAAATATAATTTAAGGTGTTGGACAGTAGAATAGAATCTGCTTCTGAATAAACTAGTGTAGGAGTGAGCTGCTTCTTAGGAAATGGATTTATGGGGTTTGTATTTAATTGATATTTACCTTCCCGTTATTTTCCACTTGAGGATGCAAACTGCTTTCTCCATCGCTTGAAAGAGGGACCTCAGTTTTTTCGCCACAAAGCATATTCTCTGCAATATGAATATTTGGTGCCAGGAAAGTAAATTCATTCTTCCTGGATTCTGAGGAGAGGCAAAGCTGGTAGGAATAAGGCAGAGTCCCATCTTGAAAATTGGGTGGAAATATGACCCCAGCTGTGGAATGGGAAATGGGAGCAAAACATGGTAAGAAACTGAACTTTCCTGACTGCCGGAGTTTGATGGCAATGGCCAGAATCACTGACAAGAGGAATAAAAATGACATCAAAGCTAAGGCCACCACCAAATAGAACTGCAGTTCCGACTGATCCTCTGAGCTGTTCATCTGGTTTTTCATCTCTGGAAGGGCCTCCTGGAAGTTCTCAGCAAACACCAGGTTCAGAGTGACAGAGGCCGAGAGGGGTGGCCGTCCATTATCCTTCACCAGAAGAACCAGTCTCTGTTTCATGGCATCTCTCTCCATAAAGATTCTTGCTGTCCTGATCTCACCTGTATGGGAGCCAACAGTGAAGAGGGCTGGTTCTGTGGCTTGAATCAGCTGGTAGGAGAGCCAGGCGTTGTGTCCGGAATCAGCATCCACGGCCACCACTTTTGTTACAAGATAATCTGCCTCGGCTGAACGAGGGACCATCTCAAAGAGGGCAGAGTCCTTGGAGTCTGGTGAAGGGGACAGGATTTGGGGGCTGTTATCATTCCGATCCAGGATAAACACCCTGACTGTGACGTTGCTGCTGAGAGAGGGACTCCCGCCATCTTGGGCCTTTACCTGCAGCTGAAATTCCCTGAACTGCTCATAGTCAAAGGACCGCTGGGCGTAGATGGTGCCGGTCTCAGAATGAATGGAGATATAGGAGGAGATGGGAAGTTCTTCAATGTTGCTGGTGAGAATTGAATATGTGATGTGTGAGTTTTGATCCACATCCGGATCAAAGGCTTGAATCTGAAAGATGAAGGCACCAGAAGGATTGTTCTCTGGTACATAGATGCTGTAGGATGCTTTCTCAAAAGCGGGGGCATTGTCATTGATATCAGAGATCTGCAGCAAGATGGTTTTGTTTGTGCTTAATGGAGGAGTTCCCTTGTCAGTGGCTGTGATTGTAATATTATACTGAGATGCTTTTTCTCGGTCCAAAGGTTTGTCTGTCATGAGCTTGTAGTAATTTTTAGATGATGGAAGAATCTTGAATGGCAAATTATTTTGCAAAAAACAAGTAACCTCTGCATTATCACCAGCGTCTCTGTCGTGTACATTGATGAGAGCAATAACTGTCCCAGATTGAGAATCTTCCAGAATGGGACTAAAAACAGATGCAACTATTATTGCTGGCACATTATCATTTTCATCAAGGATTTTTACTTCTACTTTACAATGAGTCATTGATCCGCCTCCATCTTTTGCTGCTACGGTCATCACATATTCTGTGCTTTCCTCAAAGTCCAATGGTTCCACAAGAGAAATCATTCCACTGGTTGAATCTAGGTTGAATTTCTTATTTGCACTCAGCGGTATATTGCTGAAATAATATCTGATTTGTGCATTTGAACCTTCATCTTTATCCGAAGCTACAAGTTGCAGCACCAGGAATCCAACTGGTAGGTTTTCCCTCAGATAGACTGTATAGATTTCTTGGGTGAATATAGGTGGATTATCATTGGCATCGGTGACATTGATCCATATTTGGGCTGTGCCAGTTTTTCTGGGTTTTCCCCCATCCAGCGCAGTAAGTGTGAGTTGAACAGTTGGTTCACTCTCGCGATCGAGTGGTTTTTGTAGTACTAAATCTGCAAATTTATTTCCATCTTGACTCTCTTTCACATCCAAAGTAAAGTAAGGATTGGTGCTAAGATGGTAATTCTGTAAAGAGTTTGTGCCAATATCCGGATCTTTGGCATCCCCAAGAAGGAACCTGGTGCCTATTTGTGTTGTTTCAATTATCTCCAACTGGATAGTGCTACTGAGAAACTGTGGTGAATTATCATTTATGTCTTGTATCTCTATTTTTAGATGGTAAATATTTAACGGGTTTTCAATCACTAATTCAATATTAAGAACACATAGTGGGGTTCTGCCACATATTTCTTCCCTATCTATCCTGTCATTCACACAGAGGTTTCCATTTTCTGCATTGATTCTGAAATACTGCACCTTATCCACAGAGATGGCATGCATTTTGCGACTTGCCAGTTCTCTGAGACTCAGTCCTAGATCCTTTGCAAGATTCCCCACTATAGAACCTTTTGACATCTCTTCGGGAACTGAATAATGAATCTGTTCCGAGACAGCCCGGTAGGAAACCGACAATAGTAAGAGTGACAGGACTTGCCTTCGGATTGCTCTGCCATTCCCTCCTTGCCCTCGCTCCATCCCCTCTGCGATAATGTTGATTGCCTCAAAATCTCATCGGAATGCAGAATAGTAAGAAACACTCTCCTTTCTTCTTAATTTCTGGGGACCATCCCTTTTCGCAAGACCGCTTTGCATTTGTGATCTGCTGTTTTTCCCTGCCTTTAACGAAATGCCGGAATCCTCCTTTGGGAAGCATCTGTTCAGCAGCTCTTCTCCATTCTCTTCGGCGTCCCGGTGGCTAACAGCGACACTCTGAGGCCAGAGGGGACACTGCAAGGATTTATTCAAAAGTACTTCCATGCGACCCGTTTTTGGAGTATTCAGAATAATTGCATACAGTTTTGGAAGAGCTGGCCCTCTGGTTTTTTTCTTTATATTTCTGCAGTTGTAATGTATCTCTTTCAATGTGCTTTTATTCATATTAACAGCTGTTAATTTCATGATGTACAGTGAAATGTACCTGTCAACTTACAATTGACTCCACTAGACCTGGTCTTGTGAAAACAATAATATATTAGCATATTGAGAGACTTCTGTATCTTAAAAGCTCTAACATAGGTTATGACAGTCAAAATAGGTTCAAGGAATGGCAAGACAATGATATTATTTGGTTATTTTGTATAAACTGATTAAAGGAATCTTATCCTTCTTACTATAGAAAGTAATGTTCTAGTAATCTAAGTTGCTTTGAACTACAGTATACTTTCCTATCATGAACCTGTCCTGTTGTTTATATATATATCTAATAATGTAGCTACTTATTTTCGTCTGAAAAAGCTTTAGGCATATTAGAATACAGTCAGGAAAATAACCAATACATTTTTGGTATTTCTTTTTGTTGTATATTAGCAGTTTTCATACCAATTTGGTCTATTGGTTAAGGCACCAAGCTAAAAAATGGGAGGCCATGAGATAAAGTCCCACATTAGCCATAAAAGCCAGCTGAATGACTTTGGGCCAGCCCAAAGCACTCACCTGATTATAGTGGAGAAGATTAAAAAAAAGTTGTGTTGGATATGTTTTGTGCCTAGAGTTATTTGTAAAAATAATAAAATTGGGATACAAACAAACTAATAGGAAGAAGCAGAATAAATGGAAAAGTCTTCCAATTACTCTAAGAAATGTTCCCGGAGTCTGTGGAATTTTCTTCCTTGAAGAGTCATAAGAAATCTGTTTTTTATGAACTGGAAATTTTTCTAAAAATCATTAGAATTCTTGAATCATCAGAATTAATTTTGCTCCAGTATGGTTTATTAAGGATACAAGATAATATAAATCTCAAATTCTTATCTCTTTTTTTGAGGTCATTAAATTTAATATAGTAACACTGTTAACACTGAGACTTAAAATATGACCCCTAATTAGGAGCCTAATTCAGTAAATTAGAGGCTGGCCTTTGAGTGCAATTTTAAACAGGTTGGTTCCTTTAGAGTAACAACCAAAAGACAAATTCTATACCTGAGAAACTTACATTCTAAAATTCAGTGCAGGATTGAAACAGCAGATTTATGAAGAATATTAAAAAAGTAAGAGCAGGACAGTTAGGCAGAACATAATCAGTAACGATGTTTTTCAGAGAAGTAGCCCATTTCTTTTCAATTTCTGAGCTAGATCTGCACGGTTCCTGGTCCTACAATGCAAAACAATTGGTTGCAGGTCCTTCGATCAAATGTTGTAAAAAGTTGCATTTCCTCAGTTATATTTCTTCCTTATCAGATTTGTGTTTCCTTGATATGTTTTGGAATGCATTTTAGAGATCTTAACATATGGAAAAATTTGAGCAAATAGTATTAGTAAAAATTTTGCAAAGAAAACAACCAAGTTACTCTTATTCTATCCTAGGCCTTTTGCAGGCTTCTTTCATTACATAACTGGAAAGCTTAGTGACCTATTTATATACTCCTGAATTTTAAATTAGAATACATCAGCAGAAGCTATAAATTAATAGTTAAGTTTAAAACCATATATATCTATAATCAAAATACATGAACCCAATATTTTTTGTGTGACTAGCACGATTAATTAGTATGGCATAAGTCCTCTGTTGGTCTGCTTATCAAGTGCCATAGCAAAATTTGTGATCCTTACCCTGTACTTACTCATACTTTGCAAACCCAGCCTCCCTTCAGTATTACTGGTATATAATGAAAGGTAGTGAAGTGGGATTGGTTCTTTTGTTATAATTTATTATTTAAATGCAATTAATATTTAGACTTCTAAATTGCAAGCTGCCTTGACAACTTTATATTAAAAAAGTGTCATCAGAAAGGAAGGAAAAAAAATCTATTTAAAAAATTCTAAGTTGTTTTGCGTTATATCTTTCTTGAAAAAAAAAGAGGTATCTGGCAATCTCTGATTTGCTTTTACAATTGTAACAATATTTTTAGATTTGCCAAATTGGATTAGTTCATAAATTAAGCTTATTCACATCACATTAATTCATATATCACAGGTGGTTTTAGACAAGCTATTATATCTCAACCCAAGTCTCCAATAGAATTGGAAACTGCTACTGGAGAATCATAACAAATCCATCAATTGTTATTCATATTTGGAGGTTATTTTTGCTCATTATTTTGCTTTTTCATTCAGGGCACTAAGCATATTATTTGAACTCAAAATATTGGGCCCCTTTCTAGTTCATTTCATTATACTGAAAGACCTATGAACAAAGCATCAAAGCACTGGTAGTCTGAGTATTTTTCACTTTCCACAAGTCTCTTTTTTTAATGCACAGTTTCACATATATGCATACATGTGTGCAAACTGTCTCTCTCACACACAATAAATAATATATTTCAATTAGAAAGAGACTTGCTCCAAAATCCTATCCTGAAATAATTCTAATTTATAAAGGTACATTAGAAACCACTGAAACTGTAAAGGTTACAATAAAGCAATGAGAAACCACAGGTGAAAGAGATAGTAATATAAAGTAAAATGTGTATATAAAGTCATATACCATAGTATATTTTAAAGAATGGTTAAACTTTAAAGGCAGTGCTTGGAAAAAACAAGAAAACTCACCAGACTAGATTTAGCCATCTCAGAATTTAGGATATTAGTTCCATTGCTTGCCAAAAGCTCATCAGATTTTTGGTTGCATGAAATATATTCAGCAGTTTGAACTTTGGGAGTTGGAAAAGTAATTTCATGTATCTTGGACTCAGAGGATAAGCAGAGCTGATAGGAATAAGGAATAGTTCCTTCCTCATAATTTGGTGGGAATATAATGGCATTGCTTGAATGGGGAATGGGAGCAAAGCATGGAAGAAACTTCAGATTCCCCGACTGTCGGAGTTTCATCATAATGACTAGAGTTACAGTCAAGAGGAACAAAAAGGAGATCAAAGTTAAGGCCAGCACGAGGTAGAACTGGAGCTCAGGCTGTTGCTCTGAATCGGTGGTTTGGTTATTTATTTCTGGCAGTGCCTCTTGGAAGTTTTCAGCAAAAATCAGATTGAGACTGACTGTAGCAGACAGAGGGGGCTGCCCGTTATCCTTCACTAAGACCACCAGCTTCTGCTTCAGGGCATCCCTTTCCAGAAACATCCGCAGTGTCCTGATTTCACCAGTGTGGGCACCAATGGTGAAGAGCCCCGGCTCAGTGGCTTGCAGTAGATGATAGGAGAGCCAGGCATTGTGCCCAGAGTCAGCGTCCACAGCCACCACCTTTGTAACCAGGTACCCCATCTCTGCCGAGCGAGGCACCATCTCAAAGGAGGCTGAGCCCTCTGCTCCTGGAGAAGGATACAGAATTTGGGGGCTTTGGTCATTTTGGTCCAGGATGAACACCTTCAGTGTGGCATTGCTGCTGAGAGGAGGGGAGCCGCCATCTTCAGCCTTCACCTGTACCTCAAACTCTCTGAGTTGCTCATAGTCAAAAGACCTCTGAGAATAGAGGGTGCCACTTTCTGAGTTAATGGAGAGGTAAGACGGGAGAGGTAGCGCCTCTACTTTGCTAGTGAGGATGGAGAAGGTGATCCTAGCATTGCGACCAAGATCGGGGTCTACAGCTTTGATGCTGAAGATGGAGGAGCTAGCAGGATTGTTCTCTGCCACGTAGACACTGTATGAAGATTTCTCAAAGGCAGGGGCATTATCGTTGATATCCGAAATCTCCAGTGAGATGGTTTTCTGTGTAGAAAGAGGGGGCGTACCGTTGTCTGTGGCTGTGATTGTAAGATTGTACCCTGGGATGCTTTCTCTATCTAGGGGACCATTTGTTAGCAGTTTATAATAGTTATTAGCTGCTGATACTATTTTGAATGGGGAAGCATTTTCTAAATGGCAATTGACCTCCCCATTATCCCCCGAATCTCTATCATTTGTATTGATGAGAGCTATCAATGTTCCTATTGGAGAGTTTTCAGGAATTTCTCTGGATGAGGAAGCAAGAATCACTTCTGGAGCATTGTCGTTTGCATCTAATAGTTTTATTTCAACATTACAGTGTGCTACTAATCCACCTCCATCCCTTGCTTCTACCACCATTGTATATTTCTCTGTTTCCTCAAAATCTAGCTCTTCTCGTATTGTTATAATTCCAATAGGTGGATCTAGCTCAAATTTTCGATGCACGTTATCAGCAATATTGCTGAAGGAATAGGTGATCTGACCATTGGAACCTTCATCTTTGTCTGTGGCTTTGACTTGTATTACAGTAGATCCCTTTGGAGCATTCTCTTTGAGGCTAATTTTGTACACTTTTTGAGTGAAGACAGGTGGGTTGTCATTAGCATCTATGACTGTAATCTGTATTTTGGCTGTTCCAGTTTTTACAGGGTTTCCTCCATCAAGAGCACTAAGAGTTAAACTAACAGTACTTTCACTTTCACGATCCAACTGTTTTTCCAGCACTAATTCTGCATACTTGTTTAAAGAGTCTTGCTTGCTAATTGCTAAAATGAAATACTTATTAATGCTTAGATGATAGTCCTGGAGGGAATTTGTTCCAATATCAGGATCTTCTGCTTGTCCAAGAAGAAATGTGGCTCCTGGTAAAGTGGATTCACTTATCTCTAACTTGATATCACCATTTAAGAAATGTGGTGCATTATCATTGATATCCTGGATCTCTACTGTTATATAAAATATGTCCATGGGGTTTGCACTCACCACTTCAAAACTGATGGGGCAGACTGCAGTTTCCCCACAGATTTCCTCTCGGTCAATCCTGTCTTTTACATACAGATTCCCATTTTCAGCATTAATGGAGAAGTATTGCTTTTTGCCTAAAGAGAGGATATGCAGGTTGCGATTTCCCACTTCTGCAGGACTCAGCTTCAGATCCTTGGCAAGATTCCCCACAACGGAACCCTTTCCCATTTCCTCTGGAATTGAATAGCGAACGTGCTCCGAGGCAGTCTGGCAGACGAAAGACAATAAGAAGAGGAGACGTACTTGCCTTTTTACAGAGCTGCTCTTTGCTTTGCTCCTGCCGTCCATCCCACCTGCGGTGAAAAGTGCTTTGTGCGATCCAGTAAGCTGAGGAGTTTAAATTCCCATTGGGAAGAAAGCACCAAGAGGGTCCTGGGATTCTCCTGAGTTTTATCTGCCTTGCAGTGGTTTTCTTTTCTCTGCCATGGTGTTTGAGTGTCCCTCAGAACTGCTCTTTGACTGCTCTGCGCTCGGTGAGTGGATAGTCAGAAGGCAGGAAACCCAATAGATTGCCAGCTCCTTTCTGGGAACTATGTTGGCCAACAGCGGCACTCTGAGTCTCCGATGCAGAAGTGCAGGAAATCTCTGGATCTATAGGCTTTTAGAAAGAAATAACAAGGAATCTCCTGCATATGATAAGGCAATGTCTTTTAAATTTCAGATTTATTTATTATTTATTCATTGTTCTTATAGTATGAGATCATAGTACCAGATACTATTTTGAATGGGAAAGCATTTTTAAATGGCAACTAACATCCCTCATTATCCTGCCCCTACAAGCCTTATATTTTACGTATAGTGATATAAATATAAAGCAGAATCTTCTGGTATTTCTTTGGATAAGGAGGCAAAAATCAGTTCTGATACATCCACATCTAATAGGTTTGTTTCAACAGTGCCATTAACCTAGTTTTCTCCAACTTTAATTCATTGTAAGCTTTTGCTTTCCTTACACCAGCTGTACACTCTCCGTCTGAACTCTTACTTTGTGACCTAGCTCTCTTTTTATTTCTTTTTTGTGTTCAGATCTTCAGTAAGCTTTCTGTAGCTACACTGGTTTGCTGTTCTGGACTGGTCTGTTATCCTGCATTTTTCTTCACAATGGAATTGTTTTTAGTTCTGTTTTCTCCTTTAGGAACTTCTCCCATCTTGGATCCTTTTCCTTTTACCTTCCTGTCCCATGCAATCCCATTTATCCTTAGTTCGTTGGTTAAACTATGATTAGTTTTTAGTTTCCCTTAAAATCAAGAACATCAGCAATATACTGTCATTCCCTCCATGTCGTGCTTTGCCCACTTCCTCAGTTAAGCCTTTTTTTATGAGTTAGATTCTTGATTCTTGCTCCTTTCTCTGAAGATGAAATTTGTCAGCAAAATAAATCAGAAATTTCATGGAAGGTCCATACTTGACCGGGTCTCCCAACAATTTGAATGATTTCCCATTTGTATGACTTCTTGACTCTTTGAAAATCTAAACTTTCTGATAACATTCATAAATGACCAATTCATTTATTTTGATTTTTGAGCAGGAAGAAATATTTTAAACAAATAATGCAATTCCTGTTTGCTTTCTGTTGCTTTTATTCCTTTTAAACAAACTGCATCCTTCAGTTATTCCAGGTACTGATATAATCCCACTGGGTCTCTGTTTTATGAATTAAATGACACTTGCCTTTCTATTTTAAGGGCTCAGATTCATTTTGTTTCTAAAATTCTGGGCATTAGTATTTAAAAAAAAGGAGATTTTCATTTCGATTTCCCAAAATATATAGTTTAAGGCCTTCTAATGAAGTTGTTATGCTTTGTCCAAACCCCTTTTTGTCAATCCTCATGAGGTACAACCTATTTTATGCTAGCAGTCAGACTATTCAGTCCATCTTTCCAGAATTCAGACTTTGTTTCCAGAAACCAAATCTCTTCTATTGATACCATTTGCATAATCCATCATTCACCTGAAGAATAGATTGGAAGAATGGATGATAACGCCTCTTGAATCTCCAGGTTTTTGAGCTTCCTTCTGAAAATTTCAGTTTGTGATGAATCAGCTGTAGCTGTTCTTTAGAGTATCATTTGTACCAGCAAGAAGAGATAATTGTCAATGGACTTGATGGTTCAATCATATTTTTGTTCCTGACAAAGCACATGCTTCATGATGTGTCTGGTCACCATACATTTATTTTAATTCCTCTGTGCCCCTTTTATAGAACTGAAGGTAAATATTTGGGTAGTGGTTGCCCCAAAATTTGTGAAAGGATAATTTATATCATGATTGATTATCAAGATCACTGGATTTTACTGTTCAGACTATAGATTCTTTTAGGTTATCCTCAATGATACTTATTTGATAGAAAAGATTAAAAACCAGTAAACTGTTATTTAAATCTAAAAGAATTATTTAGAATTGCATAACACCATATAGACAGATTACTCTCATTAATAGCTATTATTATAAATGGACTCCCCTTTAGTGTGCAAAGAATTTTCCAAACACAGGTAAGTATTGATGACATCTAGAAATTTTGCTTAACCTCCAGACAAAATAGTACATTTGGAATATATCATTGTGCAATTAACTTAATTATTTTGTGGATTATGACAATATTTAAGGAAATCTGGACCCTAGTTTTACAGATACTTTGAATTCTCTTCCTAAAAATGGGGCACATTATCATCTTTAATCCAGCTTCAACTCCACAAGTTGCTGTGGAAAAATGAAACTTCTCAGGTCTCACTAGATGGTAGCATTTAAGAGAAGGGACATGGAACATGCCCATTTTATCAATCCTTGTTGCGGCAGGTAGATAACCTCAAGGGCAGCTGGTCCCACAAATAACATAGCCTCATGCCATGTAAGGCTTTAAAGGTGATAGTCAGCACCTTGAATTGCAGCCAGAAAGAATCTTGGAGCCAGTGCAGCATTGTAATATGGGTAAATAGAGGGAAGCCCAACACAGCGCATCCTACCACATTTTGTGTCAATTGTAACATCCCAGTAATCCTCAAGGGCAAACATGTACAGCAGGTTAACTAGTCCAACCAGGAAATGGCCGTGAGCAAGGCCTTCCTATTCAGGAATGGGTACAATTGCACAAATTGAATCTTAACAAAATTTGTCACATACTTCTCAAATAGGAATCATGAGAAACCTCAAATTGTGTACCAACTCTGTTCGTGCAAGCGCAATCCTGTCAAGCGTCATCAAACTCCGGGGAGGGGGGTTGTAATTATGAATCTCAGCTATTACTTTGGGCTAAATTCATACAGCAAGCCATAGTTGATAAATTAACTCATCACCCAGGTTGAAAAACTGAGAGTTATAATCCTATAATCCTTAACGATAAGGTGGCATCCATTTCTTGATTTTAATAATATGTGCACATCTTTATTCAAGTCTTTGTGGGCAATATTGCAGGTCAAAATAGAGCCTTTGATTACTATGTATTTCTCAGGATGATGGAAAACATCACAAAAAGTAAAGGAAACTTTCTTCTTTTTTTACCACTGCCATACTGCAGGCTAACTCTGCTGACTGCCACCAATTCGATCCTGACCTGCTCAAGGTTGACTCAGCCTTCCATCCTTCCAAGGTCGGTAAAATGAGGATGCAAATTGTTGGGGGCAATATGCTGCTTTGTAAATCACGTAGAGAGGGCTGTAAAGCACTGTGAAATGGTATATAAGTCTCTGTGCTATTGCTATTGCTTCTTTATTTGCTGGCCAAAAGAACTCTGAAAACGCTATAGCTAAAATACCAAACTTTCTCCAAGAAATGTGATAATGTCACAAATAAGTCCAATATATTATGACAAGTAATAAAAATCTGGTTTACTTCACTATTTCCTTTAGACAGGAAATACTCTGTTCTGGTGGGATTTAAAATAGATTTTTAATCTATGTAAAATGTTTCAGAGCAGAATTCGAAGTAAAGTTCCTTTTTGGGGGGTATTAGGAAAAAACAACTAACAGTTTTTGTGTAAAAAAAAATACATTTGCAGAAATGGAAACAGAAAGCCCATTTTTAGCTACAGTGGAATTGACTCTGAAATTCTTTTTCATTCCTTCTTCTCAGATTAAGGTCTCAGTGAGTAACCTGAATAAGAATCACATTTTTATTACAACCAGAGTATTTATTTACAGATTAACATGTAATGTTATGTGATATATAAATAATTCTGTGATGCCATAATTCCTCAACAATTCTTCAGATCATCACAGAGAATTCTAGGAGAACTCCACCCTATTATACATTCAATCACAGAAACTCATTGGATGACTTTGAACCAGTCTCATCAGCCCTAACTCATAAAATGATAGTAGTGGGAACCATAAGAGGAATGAGCATTATGAATAGAAAATCAGTACCCGAGGAAATTAGCCAGCCTTATTATATCACAAGAATGAAACAATGGCAAATAAGGAGATCTATACGATAGACATAACATTCTGCATTCATTCTGGAACAGTGTTCATATCAACAGTATGAACATTATCCTAATAGACTTCAGGACAAAGCTGAAAGATCCCAGCAGAGTAAAAATAAAATGTTAAACATCAAGTATTAAGATTCAATAGACAGAACAAACTGAAGGAAACCACTGTTGAGATAAATAAGGGCTTATAGGATCAACACAACACACCATTAATCTGAAATATTAAACTCACCTTAACTAAGATTTGCTCATCATTCTTCGAGTTTAAATCCCCATAGGCTAGGATAGGGTCACTCACCCCACAGGTTAGAGGTTGATTGGTCAGAGTATTTGAACAGTTTTCCTCATGAAAATTGCAGTGGCTTTTTCTAGAATCTCTGGTGAGTGAAATAGTGTGGCAGTATGACTGAAGAAAGGCTCGGACTCCATCCATCCCAACAAATTGTGACACTGGGACACCACTAAAATGTACACTTCCTGACTCTAACAATTTTGAATTCCTCCACCTGTACAATCTGATGGCCAATAAGACAAGGAGGAAAGTAAAAAACAAGCAGGAGACAAACGCCACTGCAATCACCAGATAAAATGTGAGGTCTGACTGAGGATCTACAGGAGCTGAGATGTTGCTCAGATCTGAGAGAATTTCAGGGATGTTGTCAGCCAGAATCACCGTGAGAGTGACCGAGGCAGAGAGAGGCGGCTGCCCGTTGTCCTTCACTAAAACCACCAGGATTTGCTTCAGGGCATCTTTCTCCAGAAAAAGCCGAGCAGTCCTGATCTCGCCAGTGTGTAGTCCCACGGTGAAGAGCCCTGGTTCTGTTGCTCTGATCAGCTGGTAGGAGAGCCAGGCATTCTGGCCAGAGTCTGCATCTACTGCCACTACTTTAGTGACCAGGTAACCTGGCTCAGAAGAGCGAGGGGCCAGCTCTATCCCAGTGGAGCCATCAGCGGGAGGGGAGGGGTGCAGGATCTCTGGCACATTGTCATTCTGGTCCAGGATGAAGAGAGTCACCGAGACATTAGAGCTGAGCGATGGGGATCCTCCATCCTGAGCCTTGACCTGGAACTGAATCTCTTGAATCTCCTCATAGTCCAAGGAGCTTAGGGCATAGACGGTCCCTGTCTCAGAATTAATGGAGAGGTAGGAGGAGAGGGGCAAGTCCTTCATTTGGCTCTCAATGATGGAGTAAGTTATTCTGGCATTTTCTTCCCAGTCTGGGTCACTTGCTTTGAGGGAAAAGGCTGAGGCTCCTTTTGGGTTGTTTTCTAGAAGGTAGGAGGTATATTTTGATTCCAGAAACTCTGGAGGGTTGTCATTTGTGTCCAACACCTGGAGTGAAATAACCACAGATGTAGAGAGTGGTGGTGTCCCGTCATCCACCGCTGTAACAGTAATAGAGTAAGTTGGCAATTGTTCCCTGTCAAGGGCTTTCTCTGTCTCTAAACTGTAGAAACTCTCCATTGTTTTCTTGAGCCGAAAAGGGAGGCTGCTGGGAATTGAGCATTTAACCTCTCCGTTGTCTCCTGAATCTCTGTCTCGGGCATTTAAAATGGCAATGACGGTCCCGGCTGGAGAGTTCTCAGGCACCGCGTTGATCACAAAGGTGATGGCTAACTCAGGTGCATTATCATTTAAGTCTGTGACCAAAATCACAACCTTTGACCTATCACTCAGCCCACCCCCATCCATGGCTTGCACTTCAAATTCATACATTGACGATGTTTCAAAATCAAGGCTCCCCACAAGGATAATTTCCCCTGAAGTCGAATTTAACATAAATTTTTGAGAGCCCTTTTTTGAGATTTTTTGAAAAGAATATTTTATTTCTCCATTGATTCCTTCATCCATATCAATAGCCATCACCGTAGCTACTATGGATCCTGTAGGCACGTTCTCCTTGATGTTT